CCGTACTGTGCGCCGATTTTTGGTTCGTGTCGGTTTCGAACGGGGCAAAGTAGAAGGTCAACTGACGTTTGCGTTGGCGAAACAAAATGTAATGCTCCGTGACAAATACATTGCGAATATGGTGTCAACCATTTTTTGCGAAAATCCACTGCCTGTTGTGTATCTGGACGAGTCTTATGTACATCACCACTACGCTCGTCGTCAAGATAGTTTATACGATCCAAATGACGAACAAGACCTGCAAGTAAAAGCAAAGCACAAGGACAACGATATTGCTTTATTAGAGCTATACTAGAGGACGGAGTGGATAACTCAAAACTACTTCTTCTCGATATTTTCCAAGGGGAAAAATACGACGCAAATACCCCAAAGACTACCACGCCATGTTCAACCATGAATATTTCGTTGACAGGTTTGGGACGTTGCTCGACCAATTGAAAGCCCTGGGGAAAAGGAACGTCATTATCGTCATGGACAACGCAAAATACCATAAATGCCTACCCTGCGGCACTACAAAGAATTCCTGAGCCAAGTCGCGTCTGCGCGATAGTTACGACCGCTAAGGTATCCCCTATAACGCCGACGAAGTAAAAATTGCACTTTGGGAAAAATTTGCCAAGCACATCGAGAGCAGCATCGTACCAGTTGTGGCGGCCATGGCCGAGTCGCGAGAGCATTCTGCTGTGTGCACGCCACCGTATCATGCGGACTTGTAACCAATCGAATTGATTTGGGCAATTGTGAAAGGTGAGGTTGGTCGTCAATACGACGAAATACCTCGTTCCGTGAGGTACTGGAGCGGTTGAAGACTGCCTTTGAAAGACTCACGTCAACGGCAATCCATGGGTGTATTGCAGCATCGAAACGACGACTTACCGAGTTGCGGGACTACCTAGGTCTCCAGGACGCTGCACATGAAGAAGACGTGGCGGCGGACGAGCAAGTACTACCAGACATAAGCCATGCATCATACGACGATGACCATACCTGCGGCCAACGATTAAGCAACAGCAACTCGTCCAGCAGCGATATGGACGACGACTGTGGCCCTTGGCACCTGTAGAAAAATAAACCGACTGCTTATAGAAATTTGTACCTCTTTGCGTTGCGTAATACTTTAAGTACAAAGTTTCGAAGGTTCGAAATTTTGTAATGAGATGTCACCTCCCATACATCCCGGTGAAAAGTAATTGAATTAGTAAACGACCCCTGGAAGCTCCCCACGACTGTAAGTTCTCCTTCCCCTTATGGCTACGGAATGGACCCGAAAGCTTCGTCTGCTTCGTCAGTGTGGGGATACCGTCCCCTCGTATCCTGGGTCAAGTTGGACACGTCCTACTTGACGATTGTCTGTCAGATTGGGCTAGATCCATTCATCCCGCATTACAGTTGTCCAACATGGTGATTGGGTGGAACGACGAAAAACCCTGATTCCCCACGCGTTTGGCCCCGCGGATTCTTTCAGATTATTGCCCGTCCCCAACTCGACCCCCCCACAAATTGCAAATACCCCAGACATAAACGATTAATACGTACTTTATTACTGTCCCACCAGGGGCTCCATAACACGGATGAGTTCTCAGTCTCAAGCCTATTTTTACAGTAAAGTACGCAGTACGCACCGACTTCTTCTCCGTTATGCTTCCAAGTAATAGTCGTCTGCCAGATCACTCTAGACGACCCTTAACTGTAGTGCATAACATGCCCTCAAACAAAGGCTTCTTCTGCTTGTTCTTGAGCACGTTTGTCGTGTCGGTATACCAGAACGACTCGGTGTACTTGCCGATGGTGACCAGCGCGTGACTCGCGCTCGATTACACGTGCGTGGGTCGCAGTGCCAAGAGGCAATTCCTGCTCCTTGCGAAAGTCGTCGACGGGACCAACTGCAGCCGCGGGGTTTCGGGGTTTGAAATCATCAGGTCCGACGAGAGGAAGATCAAACTCGATGAAGCAGATGTGTTTCAGTCCTATTGGCACCACCTACGCAAAGAGCCCGACACTTTCTTCACGCGTCAAAGGGCGGCGGTGTCATGGTCTGGGGTGCGTGTTCGTCGAAAGAATGACAGAGTTGGCATTCTTGCAAGGGAACAAGAACTCCGACAACTATGTTAAAAGCCTGGAAATCTATTTGCTTCCATATGCAACAATTTGTTCCTGACGACAAGTTCAGAATATTGCGCGGCCTCCAGAAAATTCATTCCAATTGGAAGTGTCTTTTCAGTCCATTTAACTTTGAATTAACTTGATCACGGCGCAATTTACTTCACGATAAAGAAAATACACTGTAGCATCATCCATGAGGCGCGCAAATTAACGCATAGCAAATTTTTTACTTAGGTCCAAAAATGTGTAATTCCACCCAGTACTAGTACTCCGTATGCATTGTATTCGCAAGCAGTGGCTAACTTTCATCCTGTGCTCGATGAATTTCGAGGGAACGGCAAAGTCCACCTTTCAAACTCACCCAGTAGTTGATTATATTCAGATTTTGGCATTGATTTTCACCAATCTACGATTCAAATCGATGTATGAAAAAATGCATTAAACGAAAAATTTGTGAACCGCGAATTCACATGCCAGGTTGCATGTCTTTCATGTTTGAACCTCGAGCATGAAATAGTTCGACATGGGAGAACGGGCGGGAAACTACTACTTGAGGAGTCGAGGTGGTCGAGAAGGCAAACGACTGCACCCGCGAACTAGAATGCTCGCGTTCCCAACGCAAGTACATTTCATAGCCACGCGTAAATACGCAATGAATCCCGACTCATCAGAGCTGTTGTTGAAATAACCCATCTCTGCGAGGGCCGTTGCCTTAAAGTCAGGCGGCGCCAGGCATCCAAAAGCTAGCCCACCACGCACTTAGGTTCGGGTTCGATCATGTACGTCATAGACAGCTTTTCGAGCAAGCATCCATGGTATGAGCCAAGTTGGCGATGCGAATGTTCAAATCGGTCAAAGCAGCATTCAGGCGTAATTCCTTCAAGTGGCGGTCTACCTTGGCAAATTCAATCAGGCCCAGGCCATCGCCATAAAAAAATGCAACCCACTCTTCTTCCATGATGAACTCAGCGCGCTTGCACAAGTCGTACTTCGCAATACTCTTTCGCCTATCACCGGTGAAACAGGCACCAGCCGGCATAACGTACGGTTGGAACCCCAGCTGTGCAGTGACGCGCACTGAAACCAACCTTCTTGGTGTAATTGTACAAATTGTATTTTCTCCAACGCAGTCAAACCGTCGTAACGGGGAGGCGTTGGAGTATGAGGCATGCCTTAGATTTGTGGCTGACCAGGCGAAGAATCGCTAGGCGCCAGGCCGGCTTTGGTAGCTGATTGGTCACCAACTTCGGCGAGATGGTCGCCGTCTGCAGCGACACTTGGTGCAAGCGAGGCGCGCTTTTTTCGATCGGAACGAGGGCCTTGCAAGAAAATTTCAAGGGTCAGTGGCATCGACATCTTGGAAAGCATAGGCGCGGAGCCATGGTTCATGCGGCTAAACGCTTGCGCCTTGGGCGTATCGGACTGGCGGTGCACCGAGACTACATGGTCGGGGTCAGCGGGCAGTGTCGCTGGACAACAACATACGTGGTTTCATACATCCCAATTTTGAGACAGTTAGTTTAGTTGATCACAACGGAATATTTCTCAATCAATAATCCAAGATTATTCAACCTTATGCTGTGGGCTGGTTGGTAGTGTGCGCCTGTGCAATGCTCTTTCAATCTTCACCGGCACCAAACGCCGCCACAACTCGAAGCTTGCGTGACAGTGAAATTAATATCAATGCCAAAACTTTGTATTTTCCAACTGTGACAGTTGCGTGGCATTAGGAGGCGGGTTTTGTCAATTTCTCGAGAATACTCGTCCCATGCTATTCAATGCTTCAATTTTCTGAAATCAGACGAATAGAGATATTTTGAGATTCTATATATCGGAAATATGGACTTGGAGACGCTATCCGGATAACGTATCCAGTGGTCAAGTCGGTATCGCTGTTGTGACCAGCGGACATGGCTGGCGAAGCGGCTGACGTGGTAGCCGACTTCCATGCAGCTCAATGGGAGGACGTGACCCAGGTGACGCCGCCATCAACCTCACTCCCTTTTAGATTGCGGCGAGAGTTTCTTATGCGGCGAATACCTTAGGCGTTCCATGATGCCACGGATGCATTGACCCTCGGTCAAATTGTGCATGTTCCCGAGTTCAACCAATTTGAGTCAATGTCAGCGCTCGAGTTGATGGATCCAAAGATGGACTCTGGCATGCTTGCTCCGGGCCAAGTCATGCTCACTGTTGAGGAGCGTCTCACAAAGGGTACAGCCCAACTCACGTGCACTCTTGCTCAATCGTGGAGTAGGGCTGATTCCGTTGCATTTCGCAAGCGCGGCGGACTTGTTGGCGACGCTTGATCGCTTGGAACAGTGTGAGGCAGCGTGGCGGAACGGTCAGCCCATGGCGCAGAGTCTACTGACTTGCTTGTACTACCATCCTTGCGTATCGTCGGAGCTGCTGCTGGCGCCTCTGGACACCACTGCGGTCTCGGTTACCGACACGTTGGACTGCATTTTCAAAGCGTACCTGGCGATGGCTCTCAAGAGCATCACTGTACAGCGGTATGCCATCCATCGGGCCGACATTTACGAAGAGGAAGACTTCAGTCCTCTCAATTCGGACTTGGCACTGGGTACTTTGGCCTCCTTCGTCACCACTTGTAGTCACCGTTAACGCCCTAATTGCGCAGGCGACGCTATTACGGACGACACAGTCATTTATTGGCTTGACCTGGCCGAGAAGCGGTTGGACGCACTGCTGTACAAGGGCAAAGGCAAGAAGAAGTCGATGGCAGTGGAGGGCTTACACGTCGATCCATCGGTTGCATTGGACTTTGCGACATTGTTCCAATCGCGTCTGCACTTTCGTCGTTCGTTTTACATTGCGTTGACGACTCTGGTACACATCGCCCTAACGTATGTAGCCGGCAACACCTCGTTGATCTGTCTAGGGTACAGCCGAGTCGCCGGATCTCGAAGCTGCTGCCACCGCCCTCGACGAGGCGCACACCGTCTTGCAGCGCATGGCGACGGAGCGTCTGGAAGTGGCCGAAGAGTGTTTTCACGGGTCGTATGTGGGCTTTGACAACCACGTGAGCAGACTGCTTGCATCGACGATGCCCCCCCGAGAAGCCAAACTCGAATGCGCTGCCGACTCGTATGCACAAACGACTAAAGTTTGCCGCCATTTGATGCTGGCGTGCACGCCGCCCGCGACGATCCAGTCCATGGACGACTTGAAAGCGTTCCTGACACACTTGAGTTCGCTACGTCCAAATATCCTCGTGCGATCGTACGCAGTGGTACGAAGCGCCCCAGACACTGGTGATTTTGAATAATTGTGTGGCTCCTGTAGCTCTTCCTGTACATTGACAAGAAAATGTATGGCAAGTACAACTTTATGGACTGGCTCGCCGACTCGATGGTGATGAATGGCGTCCCGTCCGTGCTGCTGTCGACCCAAGAAGGCATCGGGTTTTCGACACGATGCATCGAAGCCGTGTACGAATCGCTCAAGTGCCACCTCCACAACCGCCCGCGCCAACGCCACCGTCTCGAGCTCCTCTTCGACGAATGGGCCCAGCTCCAAGTGGACGCCGCCTCCATCGACGACAAATTTGTCACGGAAATGGGCATCCCCGTACGTGGCATGCCCCAAAGTTGACGAGTTGATGGCGACTCGTAGAAAGCGTCGTACCCGCGGTACTTTACGTCATGGGCGCTCGAGCAAACGTCGGCCCTCATGATTCATTACCTCACACTTGGGTTCGAGCTCGACATTTACGCCCTCTCCGAGTACTCAACCATCTACTGGTGCGCCCCGCGTCCATATTTGCATTTCCTGACAGCTTTATAGGTACTTGGACTACCTCTTGGGCTCCCGCATCCAGAACCTGACGAACGCGTGGTCGTTCGTCGAAAAGCTCAAGTCGTTCACGACGTCCGAGCGGGCTAAGACGACGCCACTGCCTGCCCCGGCCGCGCCGCCAAAGTCCAAGAAGAAAGGGACAAAGAAATCCAAGAGTACAGTCTCGAACGGGACACTTACCGCCGCCGCCGCGACGCCAGAAGACGAACGAGCCGTCTACCTTAAGGAGAAATACGCGTGGAACCTCGCTCTGCTCGAGAGCCACCGCGGCCTCACACGCGCTCTGTTTCAAGTACGTTGCAGCACGTCGACATGGTGTTGAGGCATGGGTGCACTTTGCTGGAGTCAGCGTTTTTGTCATATGCCTCAGCCGTGATGCTGGTGCTCGAGTGCCATGGCAAGCTCGTTCCCTGGATGTCTCGTGGGTGGTTTCCTCGACTTTTGCAGACCTCCGTCTACCAGCCGACTCGCCTCCATGAGCGACTCGGCTTCCTGGTCTCACATGAAATTGTGTGATTTTTGGTTGAAGGCTTTCAACGAGTTGATGGCTTTGTGTCCGTAGTACGTGATTGGTCTCGGCCTCGACGGGCTCCTGCCACCTGACGCGACCGTGTATGGCTCTCCGAGCATTCGATTCCACCACCGGTTCAAGCCGTTTGCACGGCTGCAGTTCCCGGCGCCGTTGTCGTACGCAGACCTCGTGCACAACTGCGACTTTAGCCAGTACAAGGTGCGATCGTCGCCGGGCTGCGGCACCTTCGTCACGCTTTGATGTGCTGCATGGCTTGCAGGTCCAAGTCGTGTACCAGTCCGCCGACGAGTGCTTCAAGGTCGCCCGCGCGCGCGTCGAGAATGTGTTGGCGCTGGCCTCACCGGACAGGGAGCACACCGTCCCCGAGCTGAAAGCTCTCGTAAAAGTTTGCATCGCAAACGCAGTCTACTTGCACCAGTATTCGAAGCAACAGCAGCAGGCCAAGATGCTGGAGACGTTGTCGATTACCGACAAGGCGCCGCAAGTCGTCGTCAAGTTCGACATCCATCCAACGTACCCGGCCATTCAGGTCAAGGACCGCGCCGAGAAGTAGATACCATAGCAGCTCGATCACTCACGCAAACTACAACAAAAACAGGTCGTTTTCGTGTGGGAGATATGGGCATTGCCGCTGTCTCATGGGCATGTGCAAGGGACTCGTCCGATCCGCCATATATGACGAGTGTTGATACAACCATTGCATGAAAGGTGATGAAAGGAGCATAGATGGTATGGTGTGATGGAGTCGCCCGGTCGCGGCAGCAGCTACTGGGACTTCTTTGCGCTCTCGTCGTCGTCGATGCTGCGAATAAGGGATGTGGCGGCGAGAAGCGACACAACCAAGAGCGGGATGCAGATGAGGGCCGCGACAAGGAGCCAGAACTGCGGCTCCTCCTGGAACTTCTCCACCATGTGCAGCAAGAACTCCTTCTCCATCGTCGCCAGCGTCGTCGTCGGCGTTGCCATCTTGGAACAACCAATTTAAGCCAGCCAATGAAAAATTGACGCATAGCAGCGAGCCACCCATCGTCGCATGACGAGAAGTCGCTGGGGGAATGCGACCGTGGCGCTGCGGCACGGCAGGAAGGAGGTTATCCACGAGGTCGATGGCAGGTCGTTGTTGCGCCAACCGACCTGTGGACGGGCTGGAAATGCCGCATCTTTCTAAATGACCAATGCGTCGTCCAACTACTTGGAGGGCAAAGTCACAACAAGGGCCAACGCGTCGTCGACAAAGCTGGCGGGACTCGACATGCCAACAGGCAAAGGGGAAGTGGCGGAGGCACAGGGGCTGGACTAGATTGTGGCTTGTATGCCATTCGAAATGCTCAAACACATTCCACACGACCTGGCAGGTACATGAGAGACCGTTGGTAGGAGTGCATTCAACCAAACGTGACGACGAGCGCCGCAACGGCACGCGTCAAGACGAGGTGATGATCTCTAAGCTGCTATTTCCGGTGGGTAGGTTGCCATGCCGAGTGTCGCCGACCACGGCCACGAGTTCCATCTCGGTCAGAGTGTGGTGGGAGATGGCCGCTAGGATGCCTTGACCTCGCCACACGGCGCCAGCCCCACACATCACGGATGTGGGGAGAGACATAGCGTGCCGCGGCTGCCGCCGCCACACCATCACATCCAACTTGAGCGTAAAGATGGCTTGGTCTGGTACGGGCTCCAATTTCATGCCGTGCATGTAGCGCGTCGGAGTGGGGAGCCCCACCGTCCGAGGGGGCGGCTCCAGTTCGAACCAGGGGCGCTCATCGCGTACGCTGGCGTCACGACCGTAAGTGTAGCCCCCAAACACAACCAGTGTCGTGGAATCAAGCAGGAATGTTGCGGCCAGCATGCGTTCCGTCGGGATAGTGCGGCCCAAGAAGTGCGCCGACAGGTGGGGCCGCGACCAAATGCCTGCCACCACGTCCAAAATGAACACGTCGAGCCATCGGTTTTCGTCGCGAAGGGGGACAGGACGAGCTTCCCATCCTGCCAAGATGGCGAGTTGGCCTGGTCCTAGCCACTGCATCGTCGCCCCAAACCTCGGAGACGGTGGCTGCCCCAGCGCTGCCACAGTTGACCACGTCCGCATGTCATGCAATTGGCGCATGTCGCCGTAGACAGAGTACAGGTCTTTGCCCCCAAACACAAACATCGAGTTCGCGTCCGGGTCGAATGCTGCACAATGCCAAAACCGAGGGGGCGGCACGTGGATATTGGTTGAAGCCGGCGCCTTGGGCTCGGACCACGTCCAGATGCCGCCGCCATGGACGCGCAAACAAAAGAGGTCCTGGAACACGACGGCATGCTTGCCCCGGCCCCCAAACACGATCAAAGTCGAGCTGGCGGCAACGTATACCGCCGAATGGTCCGCGCGGCCTGGGGGAAACGATCCTGATGGAGGAATTAGCAAGGGCGGTTCGACTGGCGTGACTCACCACTCAGGCGGGGCACGTCCCACACGTTCGACTCTGGCATGTAGCAAAAGACATGATGCGAGTAGAATACGGTGCTTTTGGCCGTTTGGCGCGGCGGAACAAGCGTGCGTGGATGTAGGAGCGATGGATCGGCGATGTAACACCCTCCAAACAGCACGAGCACGTCCCCACATGTTGTCAAGGACGCCCCGTCTCGAGCGCATGGGCGGGCTTGCTGCAAGGCGTCGGCTGCGTGGGTCGGTACAGTGTGGAGGGAGATTGTTTTGGTGTGGCGCAAGGCGGGACAGATGAGCTGCATGAGGTATGCATGTCGTGCTTGGACGGCTGGGTCGCCGAACTCGTTGCAACTTTTCGACATGGTTGCATCGGTGGACATCACCACTGTGTCATGTTCAGGGCAGCAGCACACAGACGGTTGTCCCGGCACCGTGACCGCGACGTCTTCAACGGAAGGGAGCGCCAGTTCCACCGATGGCTCGATGGTTCCGGCGAGAGCTGCTGCTTGGTGCTGCCGTTGGAGATGGTATTTGTGTTTGCGGTAGGATGGAATGGCACGTGGGTCTTCTCCTCCCGCGACGCGCGCCGCGACGCTGGCCAAGTACTGTGCATGCGCCACCAAGTCGAAGCCGTTTCGTTTCATGGTGAAAATATCAAAGTCCCAACGAAGGTAAAAGAGCAAGCCAAGCCAAAAACACAAACTCGGGCGGACCCGGACACCGCCCGTGAGAAACTAGATGACCTCTTACCGTCTTTTAGAGTTGAACGAGATGGCTCAATCCCCTTGGCAAACTACAGAGCGATCCCGATGGATACACAGGAGACTGCTAATTCGTTGCAATAGCGCCTTGTCGACCAGCTTTGCCATCCATCCATGGTTTATATGACGTTAGAGACCTGACTGCGTGCCGACCGCGACGAGAGTACCGAGCCATCAACAAAATTGCACTTGGACAAGTTTGGTTGCGTTCAAGGTCGCAAGGACGACAAACGCGCCCACGACGGGCTACACTCGTCCTGCAAGAAAGGCGTTTGCCCGGCCAGGATCGGCACGTGCACTTCAGCAGGTCCAGAATTGCCATTGCCTAGTGGTGGTGTCCAAGAGCCGCCTCTTGGACATTCCGTTGGAAAGCGTGGGCCTTGGCTTGAACACCTTCGATGTACTCTCTTGGCGCAGGTACACGTTGACCTGCCCCGGCATGTCGCCCCAGCACACTCAGTCTGGGAATCGACACATGATGTGGATAATTTTTTAGTTGATCGTTGTCATTGAATTAAAGTATGTTCGTACAGAGCAACAAGAAAAATAATATGCGACATCGCGTGCCACATTTCACTTCCGCTTGTCGAGCGCGGCAGACAGCATGGGCAATGCACAGACGACCGCAGGCGATGCCACCACGAAAACGACCACTGACCCAATGGCAACTCCGCCCATGACTGCTACCCTCGGAAGCACCGCGCCAAGGACACTTCGTTTGACCCTGTCGCACGCCACGAATCTCGCGGTCGCCGACATCCGCACGAGCGACCCGTTCGTGGTGTTCTGCGTCGGCAACGAAACCCAGACAAGCACGTGCGTCGCGTCGAGCTTGAATCCTGTGTGGAGCCTCGAAGTGTTCGAGTTCAAGCTGACAGAGGCCGACATGCTCACGCGATCGTTGTCCATCGCGGTGTACGACCACGACCTGGGCAAGTCCAACGACTTGCTTGGGTCTGCGACGCTGCCCCTCGCGGCCTTCGAGGCCACCAAAGGTCGCCAGGATTTGGAATGCCCCCTTGTGATTCCCGATTGTTTTGCATCCCAGCACGTCAACAGCACCCTGTGCGGCTCGGTCGAAGTCGTCGAGTCGTGGCCAACCGTGACCGTGGAAACACGGATTGAAATGCAAGAGTTCGAGTTGCTCTCTCTCCACTATAAGCCGTGCGTGAAAGGTGTCGTCGAGGGGTGGGAGCCCATCCCGATCCAGCGCATGATGAATGACCCCCACTGGACGATACACCTCCATGTGCAAACGCAAGACGAAACAGACACGCATGGATGGCTGTACTCGCACGGACCGACAGGTCCGTGGTACAAGACCAAATTCATCGCTGCCAACTACCGCAAGCGAGTGTGGACGTATCACCCGTAGTGCAGACATGTTGTGTATATGCCAATTCGAAACCATTCTGTGGCGCGACGTTTGGCATCTCCGCCCTCGGACGTGAACCGTTGTGAGTTGGAGCGTAGCGCAGGGCCGTCCCAACAGTCGATGTCTCGAGCTTGCTTTTGCAAGCTCTACTTTAGCCCGAAGATGGGTGTCGGGGGGACGACGATGGTGCCGCCAGAGATCGCAGGTTCGCACAACGTGATCATGACATGAATCAAGTCAGCGTTTAGCCATTCTTGCAACGACCGGCGTTTGAGGGTCGGCATGCAGTGGGCGGATGAAGTGCGTGGCCTGGTGCTATGGCACGTAGCACACTCGTCTGCATTCGATAACGTTGTCATGCCAGCGCGGCCAGCGTGAGAAGAGCATTGGGCAGCGCGTGCATCGACTTGGAAGCGCAGACGACGACGCGGTCTCAACGACATATCGATCCAGTTCTGGCGTTGTTTGCGATGCAGCGTCCCAACCATACCATCGTTCCCAGTACGGGGTGCATGCCAGTGGCCTGCGTGGCTGCCGTGACGTGCACCCTACTGTCATACCAAAACGGAAGAAGCATGGGGTTTCGGCGAAGTGGCGGCCAGCAATTTCCCTCGGCCAGTGCGGAACTAGTTCGATGGGGACCGATCTCTGATGTTCCCGCAATTGGGGAATATGGCCACGAATTGTCTCTCCAACTTTGCCTGCATCGAGGGAATCGACGTTCGCGCCGATGCCATCGTCGGTGCCCATCGTCGACGCAGGGCGATTTATGTCCCACACAGCTGACGATGACCTCCACGCCGACCTCAAACAAGATTCCAGCTCTCGATTCGACGCCAAGCAGATTTCTGTCTGAGACATCTCCCCCCTACGCCAGCACCCAGCACAGAACTGCGACTCGGACCACGCCCCACACCCCAGCGCCAAACCCGACGCATTCGATGGAAGAGACAAGGTCGCTGGCTCGTGCTCGATCATCACCACACCCTCCACCCGAGTCACCGCCATCACCAACGACGCAAGAGGGTGGCGCATTGCCTACGCCAGAGGATTCAACGCCGTCACCACAACCAAGCCAGACGCCAACTGCAACTTCCCAACCACTGCACGAGGCTATCTCTCGGCCACATCAACGTCCAAGTTCACTCTGTGAGACCACTCCAGAACAATCCATGGCGCCAGCGCCGGACCTCTCTCCTGTGCTAGGGACTTCACACGAGCCAAGAGCACGAATCCCCCTACGACAACGGCCCTTCCTCCGTCGGCCAGCCCAAGCGATACCATTCCTGACGCCGCCATTCGTTCCAGTGCCCGGTCAAGAACTCATTGTCGAGCCTGAAGTTACCCCCGAGCCCACGCCGGCGCCACCATCTCCCGAAGCAACTCCCGAACCAAGTGCCACGGCGCATGAACGAATTCCACGTCGCTTTCCAACCGACGCCCTGGCTCCGCCATACCCCGATGCACGGACTCCACCATTGCCGTCGTTTCCACTGCCTCGTCCAGAAAACTTGCTGCCGAACCAACGCTGACTCCAGGACCAACGGATGTGGCTTCATCCGTGTCTCCTACACGAGCTCCACGTCGTGCCCCCACGTCAACCCTGTGGAATTGTACCTCTCAATGAATTCCCCTGCCGTGGATACGAAAGGAGCGTTTGGATCGTGCGATGGGAAGGGGTGCTTTCGGGTCGAATGTGCCCACTATATGGTCAAACTGCTCCAACGTTCTCGGTCGAGAGTTGCCCCAACCCACTAGCAGCCCTTGGTCGACTGCGACGCATGCAGTTTCCCGCGTGCGTGCTGCGCTCCACGAGCCTGCAAATTTCGTGCTTTCCCATGTCGACCTACTCGTCCAGTAGCTTGACGCCGCGCCATAGACCAAGCACACGTGAGGACATGCGTGGCGAGGATCGAAAGAGAGGTTGTGCCAAGGATGCAATGCAATATTGCTCGTCCCTGATGAAAGCCAAGTCGCGTTGCATCGAGCCAAGTCGTGGGGAATGGGACGACCTGCCCATGAGGACTTAAAACATCGAGGATGGGGCAGTGATCGGCAAATATTTGCCCTCGATCGAACGACTTGCCACATGCATCCACGCTGGAGCGCTTTCAAAGGGGGGGGGGGCAATATTGATTAAATAGCCTAGGTCGACGTGGTGGGCGGGCAGTCGTCGAAGTCGCCAAAGATCATTTCATCGAGCGCGCGGCCGGCGCCGACCATGGGGTAGCAGTGTTCGTCGCCATCCACGATAAACTCGCCGACGATCGGGCCGTCCGCGGCGAGAAACGCGGCCATTTTCTCGGCCAGGTCGTCCTGGGACGAGCACCGCAAGCCTTGGCAGTTCATCGCTTCGGCGAGCTTGACAAAGTCGGGGTTCTTCATGATCGTGGCCGAGTACCGCTCTTCGTAAAACAGATCCTGCCACTGCTTGACCATGCCTTGGGCGTGATTGTTGAGCAAGAGGACCTTCACGCCCACATTGAATTCCGCTGCCGTCGCCAGTTCCATCAGCGTCATGGAGAAGCTCGCGTCGCCGTCAATGTCCACGACCTATACCACACATCCATCACCGCGCTGTCGTCAAGATGCTCACCGGTCGGCCCGGCGACGACGCACCATCGCATTCGGCTTGGCGACTTTGGCTCCTATGGCCGCCGGCAAGCCAAAGCCCATTGTACCCAGCCCACCCGACGACACGAGCGACCGCGGTTGCCGCCAACGGTAAAACTGCGCCGCCCACATTTGATGCTGCCCGACACCGGTCGAAATGATCACGTCGTCACGGTGCTTGGTCTGCGTGTAGAGCTCTTCAATGACCTGCAACCACCTCGGCACTCAGCTCCACTTTTATCCATCACGTACGCGCTGTGGCTTGAGCGCGCGGTTTGATCCCGTGTGGTTGCGGTAGCGGAATGGATGCTGCTTCTTCCATGCTGCCATCAACACATCGTGACCTTTTCTATTCATCCGCGGCATATACACGCCAGCGTACCGTTCAGTTGGGCGTGCCATTCAGGGCGCGCCTTGGCTTCCAACTGCGGCAGCAACTGCGCCAGATTGTACGCGGCATCTCCGACAACCCCCACGTTGGTCGGGACGATCTTGCCCACTTGTTTCCCTGAAATATCAAAGTGGATGATCCCGCCTTGGCCAAGACGGCCGGCGCGGCGCGCTTCCGGCGCAAAGTCGCGGACACGGCCCGTCACTCGATCGTCAAAGCGGGCGCCGATCGCAATCACGCAGTCCGCGTCCTGGATGGCGTAGTTGGCATAGGCCGACCCGTGCATCCCGAGCATGTGAAGGCTCAGTGGGTGGGTTTCGTCGAATGCGCCCATGCCCTATGAGCACCATCCAGTGAGCACCAGTGTCGTGGCCATGGAGCCGTCTCGGTCATTCCATGATGCAGACACCAAACATCGGATGATCGCCGCGAACGCACCTGGAACGACGTGGTCACGGGCAAGTTCATCGTGATAGCAAGTTCGCGGAGCTGTTCGCTGCAGTGCTGGGTGCCTTGACCTGCGTAAATCACAGGCTTCTTGGACACGTTGATGAGTCGTGCGGCTTCGGCCAAATTCGCCGCTTGATCGACTCGGTTCCCATGGACTTTGTCTTCGCCGTAGTACCCGATCAATTGCGGCGTCGTCGACACCGACGTTTGGCACACGCCAGCGGTGATGTCCTTGGGCAGATCCACGAGCACGGGACCAGGACGGCCAGTCGTGGCGATGTGGAATGCTTCCCGGATGTTCCGGGCGAGGTCGTTCACGTGTCGAACTTGTACGTTCCACTTGGTGCATGGCCGTGTGATCCCAAGAATGTCGGCTTCCTGGAACGCGTCCGTACCCAAGACGGGGGTTGCGACCTGGCCGGAGAACACTATGATCGGTGTGCCATCCATGAGAGCGTCCTGTGTGCACCACGTAAGGCGATCATGCAAGGAGGACGATCCACGGATGCAAGCGGACCTGGAGCGGCGTGACAGTGTTGGTGGCGCCGGGACCCGACGTGACCAGCACGACACCGGGCTTGCCGGTTGCCCGCGCATACCCCTGCGCCATGTGGCCGGCGCCTTGTTCATGGCGACACAAGACAAACTTGAAGTGCGGCGATTCAAAGATCTCGTCAAACACGGGCAGGATCGCGCCGCCGGGGTAGCCAAAGATCGTGTTGACGCCGAGTTCGGCCATGAGATTGTGAAAGATCTTGGCGCCGCTTTGGCCAATGTGCTGGTCCGTCTTGGCATGCGTGGGGGGTGCGGTCGCGGAGGCGGCGGCAACGGGCGCGGCCAAGTGGCTCTTCAGTCGGCAATGGAAACGCGAAGCGGTGGCGCGCGTGAGGCGGCGCGCGACGAACATTGCTAGAGAGGGAATGGCTCCGAGCAAGGCGAAACTAGTGCGGTTCGATCGAACCGCGCCCCCCTCCACGAGAACAGTCGCTTGATTTCGCAACCACTCTTTCGCATTCGCAGTTGTCCGGATAAGCCGTGATTGTCCGGATAACAGTGGCAGAACGCTCTTTTGGTCGGTGGGAAAGTTCAAGTTGGCTGGAGTGGACGGATGGTCGACTCGTGCAGTTGGGGTGCACGTGGCCACCACTCCGCACTCGGACCTTTCCCTTCGTAATAAGTGGCAATGCCACGCCCTACTGCTCTCATACGTCGGCTCGCCACGGGGACAGAAGCCGCGATAAAGGGCTGCGTCAGGTTTGTGATGGGAGGAGCAGCGTGCGACGTAGCTGTGCTTGGAGGCAAGCGCTGGACGTGATGGTCGATTGGTCCATGACGAGTCCTCTTTTGGCAACATGTTCAAATGCCACAGCTGGTGGCTACCTCTGCTTTTTTTTGAGGTGATGCATGCGCAGCAATGGATGAAATGCATGCGGTCGGCGGCAGGTCTCGTGCCCTCAAGGTGTGGAAGGACTCTGTTACTTCTGCAGCAGTTGGCCTTGTACAGGCAGGCGAGCATACCCAGGACGAAGCAGTGGGCCAGCCGCAAAATATGTGATACACACAATGCTATTGAATTCGAGCGGTCCTTCGCTCGACGCATCACATGACGTGGCAGCATACGGTGAGCGTCAGTGATGTGGTTTCCGCGGCCGGCTGGCACGTGGTCGCTCGGTGGCTGGGTGCGGCCAGCGGATGTTGAAGTGCTAGCGAGGTACAGATGCCACCATACAAACATCAAGACAAATATGGATGGCAGAGGAATTGAATAAAATGTGCCAACGTTTCAACTTCATGTTGTTTCATCTAGTGAACGCACGGAGACGCCGCGTCGCCAGCAAATAACGAGGTCGACGATCGGGTCCGAGGGCTAGCGAGATGACGCGATCCTTTCTTCCGACAGCCAGGGAAGCGTCTGTCTGCGTCAGAATCATGCGCTTTAGTCCCATCGAGATATGCGCGATCCAGTGTCTTTGGACCGCCCTTCTTCAGAATCGGCAAGTGTCATTCCAGGCTGAGAATTCATCTCCTTGATAAATGTCGCGCTCGACGGCGTCCGAGACGCGTGCGTCGTATCTGTGCACGGTGTCGAATCTTGCACGTCCTGCTCCAGGCAGTGTCCACGGATCATGCTGCAGATGGCTGTGGTACGAAATCCCATGCACTTCCTTCTGCGCAACAAGCAAACTCCGCTGCCTCCTTTCAACATTGCGATCTGAGAGGTAAGATTCATGTCGCGCGGGACGCACGATGGGATGCAGCGTCCCACCCGTTCAGTGTCGACGCGTCCCAGGCGGGGGCAATACCCCACGATTTTTGCCGCTTTCTTCGAAGAGAGACGTTGTTATATTCGTGCGCAATAGCTTCACATCTTCCACGCGTGAAGTTGGCCGCGTGAAACGTGAACAACGAACTGTGCGGGACAAATCATCGACCAGCACCTTGCCGTGCAGGCGCTCGCTCTGCGAAAAATCGAGAAAGTGCTCGTAGAGGACAACCTGTTCAGGGCCGAAAGTGCACTGTGGTCATAGGAACAAGCGAGATGGATTGTGGTTCCTCTTTGTCCATCGGTGTTTGCGCGTAGGGACTCCGTACGGGGTGGAAGCGTCGTGGCCGGTCCACGCCGGGGTGAAGCGCGTTGTAGCGGACGTTGTTTAGTCCGCCGCGTTGGCGAGACAAATCGATTTGAGGAATAGAGGTAAATTAGTTGTGGTGGTTGATTGTATCGAGCAACGTGTTGGATTTCGCAAGCTTCATGACACTGTCGCATCCGCCAATGTGACGGCCGTTGATAAATATATTCGGAACTGTGCGCAGGTTCGTCATGTCTGCGAGAACGTCCTGAATGTCTTGACCGGATTCTACGCGCGCCACGAACGACGTCAATCCATGTACTGGAGGGAGACAAGGAAGAGAACTATACCGAGGTCGTCCAGCTCGATCGTCAGCGGCTTGATGTTCATGTCTTCAAAAAGTTCCTTCACGCGGACGCAGAAGGGGCAATACGACTTGGAGAAAAACACAACCGGGCTCGTTTGGATCAATTCCTGCACACGTCGCGACCGGTGAGTCATAGGTCTCGACTTGGGAGTCCAACAACTACCTCGACAGCATTCTGGCTCGGCTCGACGTGGATGCGACGAACTGCATCTCGTAGACGTGCCACGCGCTGGAGCGGCAGGATGCGGTGGGGAAGGCGCTGGGCAGCAAGCATCTCGGGCTGTTGGACTTCGGTGACACGCCGACGATGTGGAAATGTGGCACAGGTGGTCTGTCGCGTAGTCTGATTGGACCAAATCAGATTCTTGGCCGAGCACCAAAACAGAGTGCATATATTAATATTCCAATTTGCTTACTGTTGTACAGTATACTTAAAACTGCATGTATAATAATATTCAATTTGAATCCACCACGCTGTCGAGTGTGTATGGTGACACTTGTTTTGACATACTTTTGATCTTGATGGATCTATGAGTCAAACTCGTCTTCTGCTTTATCTTGGTATTTGTAAGTAACTTCAACAT